CATTTTCATCTTTATACAGAAAAAGCTCTTTCTTTGGAAACTCTTTACCATTTTCAATGTTGTTTGTAATCAAATATTGGTTTGTATCTGATTTCTTGGCGTTCCTACTTTAGTGGCTTTACAGGATCACTTTACATTGGTCTGTTATTTATCTTTTTAGTAGTTTCTTTGTCGATAGATTCATGATTCATTCGCGAGTGTTTCTAAAACTTCATTCATTCATTCATCGATCATCAACGCAACAGGAATGAATGCAAAGCAAAACCAAATATCAAATGTTTATTTAGTGTAAATAAATATGAAATATGAATGAACAGTTGGAATGAAATAAACATACTTGTCTTTGAAAACTTAACTTTGCCACTCGGAAACAGTATTGAAATGGTAACAAACACTAATGATCTAAAGCGAATTGAAAACACGCGCTATTTGTCTTGCTCCTGCATTCAGATTCTTGTTTGTAATAAAGGTCTTCATATCGAGTTTGTTTTCTAACTTTCTAACAAACTTTCATCTTGTATAGCAAAGCTACTATCAATAAGCATCAAGCGATTATATATGTGTGCTGTGTTTGCCTTGCGCAGGCCTAACTAACATTTAAATCTATCAGCGTAAATAATGCATAATAAATGATAAAATGTGAAAATAGTAAATTTTACAGAACATATAAAATTTAATGTTCCACGTAAATATAATTAAGTACGTAGTTCTCTATTAATAGAAACAAACATAAGTAGAGCTATATTTAGTATGATACTATTGTAAAAAAAATAATGTTTTTAGGTGAATTTTCCTCGAGTATTCATTACTGTGTAAACCAAAGTGAGATCTGCAGCAAAAAATGCAACTTAGAAGTTGGGTGGCAACTCGTAACTGCTGACATGAAGTACATTTGTAACATAAGTAAAAGTTACGGTCAGAAAATTGTATCGTTTGGTGAAGTTCTAGCAGATTTTCATGAAACAACACAAGGGTCGGATGACTCTACGAGAATATGTTACAGGTAGAAATTATTTTATTTTAACACGTTCAATCATCTGAACAGTGGCGGATTCAGTTCAACAACCATCTTGTGTGACTATTTTTAAATTTAGCCAGCATATATTATTAAACCTACTTTCTAGACATAAAAAGACTGTTTTAAATAGCAAAATTGCATTTGTGCGATAACAAAATCAGAGATAAAATGTCGCCAACTTGCTTTTTAAGCCCCCACACAAAATTTATAGTTTTGGCTCATTTGTCAAAGTTGGTCCCCTCCGTCAAAGTTGTCCACTAGATCCGCCCCTGTCTGAGCATGTTAACGGAATTGATTTTGTTCATTTCAATAATTTTTTGATATTTGCGCTTCTTCTTTTTGAGCTATCAACTTTTTACTTAATAACTACACCATTATAAATAAGTAAATTTTCATTGAAATAAATATTTTATTCTAGAAGTACAGCATCAACAGCAGTTCATGTGGACAAAGCAGGATCACTCAAAGTGGTGTTTAGCTCAAATAATGTCAAAAATGAATCGTTCATTTTGTTCAATCAAATTCAACAAAAAAAATTTTTCGACAAAACTGAGTATGCAGAAGCTAACAATAGCACAGAAAATTCATCTGAATTGTGGAATGTTTTTAATATTTTAATGCTTAAGAACAATTATAGCAAATTTTATAAACAACTTTATAGGAATGTGTTTTGTTTTTCTAAATGTCATGACACTTTATACATTAATTAATTAATTAATTAATTAGTTAATTAATTAGTCAATCAATTAATGTATTAATTAATTAATTAATTACAACTTATCAAATAGATGATTAAAAGCAACTCTGAATAAGTTTCAAATGACAAAATATATATCTAATGTAGAAAAACTTCAATTTTGTTCTTTTTCTACGTAAACATAAAACTAATGGTAGTTAGTTAACACCAGGGCGTTGAAGTCGATGAAAAATATCCGAGCCTTCAAAAATTCCGAACTCCGGGTAAAAATTTCCGACGCACACAAAATTTTTCAACTTTTGAATCATAACTTTATATTAATATCACTAATACATAAAATTTAAAAAAATACACATAAAATTAGTCAATAATAAAATTACTCAATATTTATCTTTTAAAACTGAAAGAAAATTATGTGATTTTAATCGCATTATTAGCATTATTTTCAGTATTAAAGATGGATGCATATTGCAACACTTTATCTTCATGGATTAATGATGCACCTACCAGAAACCGCTTCAATATACGCCGCAGAGATCCTTGCTATAGAACTGGCTTTAAACTTCATTATTGATTCAGAGAAAAATAAATTCATAATATTTTTGGATTCCTTGTCTATTCTATCAACCTTGAAACAATACAAACCCATAAATCCATTAATAATTCAAATGCAAAATATGATTCATAATATCCTGAATAGCAACACAAATTTAATCATAATGTAGATCCCCAGCCACGTTGGAATTGAAAGATATGAAAAGAAGGTCAGATGGCTTCCTAAGCTCATTCGATGCCATTATCTAGAATTCCAATTCCGTCAAGTGATTTAAAGAATTTAACAACCTTATTGTTGAAAATGGCAGCAGGAGTGGAATAAAACATCACAATTCTGAAAATTAAGTATGCCATTAGTAAATAACAAAAAATTCAAAAATAGTTTTTTAAATCGTCATCTTCAGTCTGTTATCAATAGATTAAAAATAGGACATTCAGCAATCACACATTCCTGGATCCTCAACAAAAAAAGACACCTTATTGTGAAGCCTGCGAGAAAAAACAATCTAGCATATATTAACTGAATGGGAAAAATGTAATCAAATCAGAAAGAAACTCGGAGTGCCATCAAATGTAGAATTGTTGTTGTTGTTCATATTTGACGGCAGTTATGCTCCTAAAGTGGTGCAATTGTTTGCCAAATTAAGAAAAAATTATTTTTTTTTCCATGTGGAAAAATAGAAGTTCAGATAATATGAAAAATGTTTATTGCACTGAACGTGGGGAAAGAGAAATACTATGGAAAAAATATTTAAATCATATCGTAGTAGTTACAATCCTTTAGAAATTGTATTTCATTGATAATATTATTGTTATTTTTAAAATTCTCTGAAAGCTCTTTATATATTAAATGTTTATGTCTATGTGAAATTGGGTTCTCGCAAGTTAAAATGTAGAATTGCTCTTCCAGAATAGAAGTCAGGATGTTTTGATTTCATTTGTGGAGGAGATAGATTTGATCAACAGAATTTGAAGTTCTCTTGATGTCACAGCATAATAATCAGTTTCTAATGATCCAATGGCGTAAAAATAGCCGCATTGTGTTGAAACGCCGTTAAGCTGCAAACAAAATTAAGAGGAATTTACTGCGTCAGACATGTGTGCACCTAAGATAGATAAATTTTTGATAATAATATATATAAAGTAAAATTATATTTGATTTCACATAACTAGAATAAATATAACGGCCTTCGCTCACTTTTAACGTTCGAACAAGAAGCTTACTTCCGGAGGAGATTTGGAGGGTGATTTTTCATCGTTCGAGTCAAAAGTTACGATCGAATATTTACTAATTTCGAAATATTGCTTTTATTTAAAATGATAAAATTTTATTTTTTTTAAATTGTTATTCAATGTGGTAATTAATTACTTTTATTTAGTATAAATTTAAAAAAAATCGACATTACCGAGAATAATTAAAAATTGAGGTTCTTTGCATATCCCTGCTTCAACCCATAAAAAAGTGTTGTCTATTGGTAATTAGGCCACCCTTTATTCGATTCAACATTTAAATATAATCTATATTATCCTATATAATTGTGTGCTAATATTAAATACCAAAAACTTTTAAATAATCAACAAATCAACATTGTCGTTTCTAACTTTGCCAGCGTGATTCACTTAAAAAACGTGGTCATTTTGAGCGTAAATGCGTATTTATCAAGAAAAATAGTTTTTTGGATATTTGAATTTTTTTTCTTGATTGACAATGCTTCCAACATCTAAATCGCCATTTGATTTGATCTCCGCTGAGACTGTTGCAGAAGGAAAAGCGAGTATAATTCTTCCATCCAATGTTTTTTATAATCCTGTGCAAGAATTTAACAGAGATTTGTCCATTGTTGTTATATCTGCGTACCGGCAATATTTGTTGGATTCAACAAATTCTGAGACAACAAGCAGATTGAAGCATCCAATGAAGCCTGGTTTTAAAATCTTGGAAGCATTAGCGGCCACTGGCCTAAGATCAATCAGATTCGCATTAGAAATACCAGATGTAAAAATTATTATAGCAAATGATTTCGATGTGAGTGCTGTTAATTACATCAGTAAAAATGCTGAACTAAATAAAGTGAGTCACATTGTTACTCCCAACTGTGCGGATGCTACAATGTATATGTATGAAAATAGAAAATTTGATGACAGATTCCATGTTGTTGATCTGGATCCATATGGTTCACCTACTCAGTTTCTTGATGGTGCAGTTCAATGTGTAGCTGATGGGGGAATTTTATTGGTTACATGCACAGACATGGCAGTGCTTTGTGGTAATGCTCCAGAAACTTGTCATTCAAAGTATGGTTCTTTATCCATCAGATCACGCTTTTGTCATGAGATGGCCTTAAGGATTTTACTTAGAAGTATTGAGTCACATGCCAATAAATATTCTCGATATATTGTTCCACTTCTTTCAATCAGTGTTGACTTTTATTGCAGAGTTTTTGTTCAATTATTCACAAGCCAAAGTAAAGTAAAAGAATCAGCAACAAAATTATCATACATTTTTTATTGCACTGGTTGCGGATCGTTTCATCTTCAAAAATTGTGTGATAAAACTCAAGCTGGAAGGAATATTAATAACTTCAAGTATATAGCACCTGCTAGTCCTCCGGTCGGTGAGCAATGTAATAATTGTAAGGGAAAACATGTTTTTGCTGGTCCTATTTGGTCTGATCCAATACACAATAATCATTTCATCCAACAGCTAATCAGTTTAACTGAAAAAAGAAAGTCTGAATTTAAAACAAGTGATAGAGTAATTGGCATGCTTTCAGTAATTTCTGAAGAGTTGCATGATGTTCCTCTATATTACGATATTGACCATCTTTGCACTGTTCTACACTGTACTAGCATTGGATTTCTACCAATAAGGTAAAGGTTTTAAAAAATAAAATTTGTTGTATTATAATTAGGTTTTTAAATTAAGGTCAGCTTTGCTGAACAGTGGTTTCAGTGTTTCCTTATCTCATGCAGAAAAAAATTCTCTGAAAACAAATGCACCTATGGCCATTATTTGGGTGAGTGTTTGTCATTATGTTGACTTATTATTTATATAAATGTAATTATTCATTTACCAGGATATTTTAAGGTGCTGGGTTAAAAACAACCCGATCAATCAAAAGAGGTGCCCTGAAGGTTCAGTTGTGCACAACATTCTTGCTCATGAAATAACTTTTGTGGCTGATTTTACGTTACACCCTAAAGCCAATCCTCCTTCAAGATCAAATGGTCTTCTCAGATGGCAAGTAAATCCAGAAAAATATTGGGGACCAAAACCAAGAGCAAGAAGAACTGATAAAAACGCAGACACAGTACATCAACAACCTCTTGACAACTCAAGGGTCTGGTTTTAAATTAAAATTTCATTTCTTTTTTTATCGTTATTAATTGATCATTAGTGAATGGTTGTTTTGTTTATTATTTTGTAGTCTAAATATCATACAACATTACAACATCTTTGCCAAATGTCTTAAGGATTGTCGATGCATTTACAGAAAAAGTCTTGTTTTGCATAAACTGGTTTGAGCATCAAATTAGTAGCCTTTGAACAAAATAAAGCCTCTATTTTTTGATGGCCATTTTACATGTCTTGAATTAAACAAAAATGCTCAATAGATTAAAATGAGTTTTCATCACTTCTAGAGCTTTTGGTTTTGCACTGTTAATAGTTGTTACACAGACATTTCTAAGATTCTTAATCATTCATTTCAACATTAGATTTTATTCATAGCTCTACCTTATTTGATTTGAATTGTAAAACTTAAGATGAAGGTAACCGTGGCACAGCTGTCTATTTGGTTGTTACTTGGTCGTCCCCATTCTATTATGTTGGCAACAACCTGCCCCACTGTTGAACATGTTAATTAATTGTCACTATTCAGTAAGCTCATTTCAGTTTCATTAGAAAATCTCTCTCATGAAAATTACTGGCGGTTTGTTGGCAATCAAAACTAATGAAAATCATTTTTATAGATAATCTTAAAAAGGAATGAATTTTTTCATGATTGCCAATGATTGGATAAAGTCTTTCTGTGCCATATCGTATTACAATTACATTAATAAAAAAAATGCGTTAATGGGTGTGGAATCATTCGGTCAAGATATATTTACCATTGTCAGTGGCTGGTTGCGTTGGTATTTTTTTTAACTGGAACGGTAGGGGCTTGTACCTTTGTTAACCTGCTAATGAATTTTTATCCTAATCATGAAAACTCATTTTAATTTTATATTGTTTTGTTGTCTACATTTATAGGTCATTTATTAGATCATAGTCATATCTCTCTATTAATAAATTATATCGGTGGATGAATCAGTTTTGTTTTGTAAATTATAAAACAGTGTACATCATTTTAATATAAAGATGGCCGTTCCCAAAATTGCTTCATAAAATTTTATGCAGGTGTCGCCCAGTCAGCGGTGTAAAAGGTTTAAAAGTAGTTCATCAAAACATGACGAAGCACATACAGACAATTCCTAAGTAACCGAGTGATCGTTATTAATGTATATATATATATATATATATGTGTGTGTGTGTGTGTGCATGCTTTTGCATTTTATTAATCCAATTATATTCCGACATCTTGACGCTCATTAAAAAATTTTTTTAGTTATCTTAATTTGTGGATGGTTGTGCACCTGAGTTTGCAATAGTTGGGATTGTCCTTGCATTTGAAACATGAAGCCGGAGCCAATGGCTATATTTATGATCTACTGTACCATATATATTTATTCTGAATGTATACAAATAATATTCTGTCCCCAAATTGATTGACAAAATTTTGTTTTATAAGATCTGTCGAGTATTTTCAAATTGTAACCACAATACCAATCAACTATTTTTAATCATTTTGGGTTTCATCTAAACTGTTGCAGAAAATGCATATGGACCACAGTTGAAGTAGTTTGCAGGACGATATTGATGGGTCTTCCGAGTGAATCGATGTGACAGTCTGCTCTGTGAAATCTAAAAGTCAAAGCGTGTCAGTGAGCAGAAAAAAAAACACAGCTTGTGAAAAACACGCGAAATTTTATTTGTGCCAACTTTATCAATTTACAAATAAATGATTATATATAATATATAAAAATAATTTCAAATTGAGATTATAAAATGATTAGAAACTAACTCCACTTAATTTGAATGATTGACGTGAGAACAGTTGAATATTGAAGCCAAACAGAAAGTAGACCGTGAAAAAATAAATTGATTAAAACATAATTAAAATGAGAATTGGGTTCATAATTTTTCAATTAGTATTGATGACGCTGCACCTCCACCATTGCATATGGCTGCAACACCTTTTTCTCCCGCTTTGAGATTGTGCACCAAATGAGCTATAATCCGTGCTCCAGACATTCTGATGAATAATAAAAACTGAAAAATAGAAAGCTATCAATGAACTAGCGTCAGAATTTTTTTAAATACCGTTTGAGTATATGAAAATGTAAAGAAACGAAGCAGTAGATATGCACCGAATAGTGAATTTGGCCAAAAGCCGAATACCAAAAACCCGCAATTAAAAAAAAATTTAGAATGATAAACAAGTTGAAAAAAATTGTCGCGTTAATCCGACAATTTTTTACCGAGATTATATTTAATCTCTTTTCAGATTTAAATGTTTAAAATAAATTTTCGCTAATAATAATCAAGAGTTATTGTCCTGGAACCAAAAAAATGATTTTTTTTATATGAAAATTGCAACCCTCAGCTAACGGCCTAAAAATCGCCGAGGCCTAATGTGAAATATCGACCGAATATTCGCTAGACCAAAAATTCAGTGATCTCTACAAAATCAGGAGCTATTTTTCTAACCTTGACATGCTGGCATTTATTGCAGTTCGAAAAGAAAAAAACCACGTAACATCGATTGAAATATAAAACGAATAGCGATATGTCATAAAAATCAATAATTTTAACTCACCCGATAGGGTGACCTATGCTGACTGCACCACCATTAACGTTTACCAATGTTGGGTCTAATCCCAACTTCTTTATGTTAGCCAAGGCTACAACACTAAATGCCTCATTAATTTCCCATCTATTGATGTCTTTTATTTTCCAGCCAGTAGTCTTGAGCAACTTGGGAATTGCAAATGAAGGGGCAATTGTAAAGTCGATGGGGTTAGTAGCTGCATCAGCAAAACCTAGAAAAACACGGGTTCAATGAGATGTTATATGAAATATTTTTCAATGAAATATTGTTGTATGAAATATGTTCAATGAAATATTGCTTACATATTTACAAGAAAATTTATAAAATCTAAAGCAAATAAAAAACCCACCAACAATTCTGGCCAAAGGATTTAGCTTGCGCGACTTAAGTTGGCCTTCAGAAAGGAGAATCAAAGCACATGCTCCATCATTAAGAGTGCTTGAATTTCCAGCTGTTACAGTTCCTTGTTCATTTGATCATCAAATTTTATAATAAAAATAACTAAAACTACTTCTTAAATTTGTACTTTATGAAAATATTGGCGAAAATAGACAAATATATATATATATATATATATATATATATATATATATATATATATATATATATTTAATTGGATTATTTAAGTTCTGAGAAAATAAATTGCACATTTTTAATTCTGAAAGTTCAAATAAAATAGAGATCAAAGTTAATATTTGTATTGGATCTTAATTTTTGTTCTTAAAAAAGGTATGCAGCATTTTCATCCATCAGAATAAGTTGATTATTGATAAGAAATAAAAAGATAAATTGATTAAAGTTTTACCATCTTTCCTGAATGCAGGCTTTAAAAGTTTAAACTTATCCACATCAAATTTGCTGTACTCTTCATCTGTGTCGACCGTCAACTCTTTCCCTAGTTTGTTGATTTGTTATTAATTTTATGCTCCATTCGCATAAAAGTTTTATGTAAGTGAAATTTGAAATTGATAGCGTTAAAGTTGAACATTTTAAGATTAAAATATTGTCATAATTAGTACGGGTGGACCTTTGCGTTAACAAAAATGGAATGTTATTCATTATAATTCCTCAGACATTTATACGATTCAAACCTTTTTTATCTTTGACGACAACTGGGACGATTTCTTTTTTAAAAATACCTTTTTGACCAGCTTCATGACTTTTTCTGTAGCTATTAATAGCATATTCATCTTGTTCAGCTCGCGATATATTCAAAACCTTAGCAATATTCTCAGCACAAACACCCTAAAATAAACAAACTAAAATATATTTCGGCTTTTGACCGCAAAGGAATGTGAAAGTAGACCTACCATGTGTATGTCGTTATAGACATCTGTTAGGCCATCATAAACAATGCCATCCTAACAATTATTAACATTCAATCATTAATATTTCCAAATTCAGGGAAAGTAGTTCATCAAAATAATATTAGCAACAAAAATTCTTATTTCTATTGCTAACATATAATTGCATGCCCCCATAAACCGTGTTGCCTCGACGCATGTAGAATGGAACATTGGACATGCTTTCCATACCACCAGCTGCCATCACATCCTAATGTGAATTGTTCATTATTACCTTGTGAGCATGGCAAATGCAATATCAATTTATTTTGAAGGCTATGTTAAGCAAATGATGCGATAATGTTAAGCAAATAATAGGATAAGTGAATGGCAGACAAAGCAATGAAACAGCCGCAACGTAAATGCATCGTTCAACTTGAAATAACTTTAAATGATATCATTATTTGAGGAACTGCTTAAAGAAGACAGCTGACTGACCTGGTGTCCGCACATAATATTTTGGGCAGCTAGCATGACGGCTTTCATTCCTGAGGCGCATACTTTGTTCACTGTTGTCGCTTCCGTTGACTCACTCAATCCTATAAAGTTTGTCATTTAATAGCACAATTACAAAATGAGAGATTAATATGAAAACAAATGTTAAAGCTTTTATTTATGAAAGAATGATTGACAAATGCGATCAAATTAATTTTTTTAATTTATAAATGTATAAGTGCAGTTAACTTGATGATGCAAATAAGAAACAACTAGAAAGTACAGCCCACCCGCAAATAATGCAACTTGACGTGCTGGACTCTGTTTGCAAGCAGCTTGAACTACCTGGCCCATGTACACCTCAGGAATTTCATCTTTCTGTAATCCTAAACACGTGTTAAAACATTCAATATCAGTTTCCGAAGCTATTGAATTAATAATTAAATCTGTTTTATCTAGGGCTCCTACATGTCCTTTTTTAAGGGGACAGTTCTTTTTTTGCATCGGCGTCCTATTTTTGTCCTTTTTTCGCTACTCAGTTTGAAAATATCAAAATATCTCTACATAATTATTCAACTTCAAAAATCATAATGCTGCTTTCAATTGCTTTCAGTAAAGTTTTTAATATTTATTATACAATTTATACAGTTCAATTTATAAATTAAAATTCCATAATTGGAAATAACTTAATGGCGCTCTATAAAAATAACAGTGAATGTTTGAGCGTGTGGAGTGCGTTCAGTTCTTCGCGTCGTTACATACGAGAACGGCCACTATTACCATGGATATAATATATATATCCAAGACTATTACTATTCAATTTTTAAAATTTTATCAAATAAAAAAATAATTTAAATAAACGATATGTCAAAACGAAAGTGAGTATATCGTGAAGAGTTCTCAAATGACTATTCAGGTATTAACGAAAGTAGAAAAGGCGAAAATTGTGCAAAAAGCAATGGACTGATGACAGAAAACGTCAAAAATTTAAACTGTTGAAAGTTTAGTACAGGTCAAGTTTAATTATTTGTTATCATGCTCTAAAATGTACAATTATTTGATAAACGATGACTTAAGTATGCTCGTTGATTTCAGTAAACGTTTGTCAATAAACTGAATTTTTTGTGAAAGTTGTCCTTTTTTGTCAGAAAGTAAATGGGAGCCCTAGTTTTATCAAACTGGGCAAACGATTGTTAAAAATATTTTATAATACCCAACAAAACTTTTTTCAAATGTTTATACAGATAATTAAATTATTAAATTAGGAATATTTTAAGCTTTTATGACAAAATGACGTAATTACTTTCATTGCCCTACTACAAAATCTCATTAAAGTTGTGTAAATAAATAACTTAAGCACTATTTTGACCAGCAATTTTATAGCGAAAGCACATAGAAAAAAGAGTTACAAAAAATTTTTTTACGTGTAACAATGAAAAATATTATGAAAAATCTGTTTCAATGGCAAAAAACAAAACTAAAAAAATAATGTAAATTAATGAACGTATAACAAAGTACAGTAAAACTTCGTTATAATGTACTTCTGCGAATTTAAAAAATCCGAGACACGTTTCAATCAACACAAAATTTTTTATAACCCAAAAATTTTTATAACTAGTTTATTTGAAAGTTTGATATTTTATAATTAAAAATAATAAAATTTAAATATTATCTCCAACAAATAAAAATTTTCTCAGAGTACGTTATATGACGAAAAATATAACGGGGTTTCATATCAACTGACTGAATATTTTTTATCGAAATAATGTTATATTTGCATACTTTATATCCCTACAACATAAAAAATCTAAAAATGTTGGGACAGTAAACTTTCGTACTTTATATCCGCGAGTCCGTGATAACGAAGTTTTACTGTATCATCTGAAATAGATGAAACAGTTAAGAAACGAAAATTAAACGATATTTTAAATATACGCTTCATTCGATAATACTAAATAGATTGATCTATAAATAAAACTAAAATAAAAACTTTGAATATTTTTGAGGAACCAGATCTTAGAGATGGGAATCGAACTTTTAACAAAGTTCGGTTTCAGTTTGATAAGATTCGGTTCGACAGGTTTTACCCCAAATAAAAATTGGGTTCGGTTCAACTTTGAGTAAAGTTCAGATTCAGTTCGACCATGAACACAGCTCAGATTTGGCTTGACTTTTTGAAACTAAGCAATAACAAAATTAAGCACGACGTAGGTCGAAAATGGTATCAGCAACTTGAAAATTCAGTACCGACGTATCGGTAATGTAAAAAAAAACCGAGGTCGAGATATCAGTAAATGCACAAAGATGATGCATTCAAATTTAGGCGACAATTTTAAAACTAAAATTCGACTCAATCCCGAAATCCAGCCCTATTTTAGATTAGATATAGAAAAAGTTCACCGAGTTAGCTTAGTCTGTAGAAATGTCATGTCGCGCTTATATTACGCTATAGCATGGTTGTAATACTATCACAAACTCAGAGACTATTATACGCGTATGATCCGGTGCTTCCGCATGCATGCATAATGTGCACAAAGGCTGTTCTCGAACAATTTCGAAAATTTAATTTTTTTGGTGATTCACGAAAACGATTAGAGTAACAACTACAACTTTACTATTACGCAATCAATGCAAAGAAAGAATTTCTCCTTAGGTATATGCAAATTTATACCCTCAACTTTTTTCTTTTATTGACATGTTTTCTCTTGATTTGTTCTTAAAAACAAGAAACAAAAATACCTCGTTGAAATTGCGTGTTTTTATGCTACATTTTGTTTTTGTATGAAACTAATTAAAAAGCCTGTATATTGGAAAACATTAGAAAACAAAACTAAAAACCGGATAAATACTACCGGAAACCGGAAGATAATTTTACTCAAGTGAATAATTTTAGTGCGTAACTGTACATTAAGTTTTTTCTATAATTTTTAAGTCCTCTTAAAGAAAATGTGTGACAATAATAAAAAACAAAAAAAAGTGCAATCTCGCTAGAAACCAAAATTATAATTCTCGATTGCTTTGCGAAAGAAGAAAGATCAATAGCAATAGGTGAACGTTATAATTTAGGCAAATCTACTATAAGAGCAATAAAAAAAATGAAGCGGCAGTAAAGAAGATCAGTCAGATCTGGTACAAGTGATAAAAATGATCCTGCACTAATCCACAAACTGGTTCGCACATTATATCAGACAGCGAACAATGATGAAAACATTCTTAATATGATTTTAAAAGAAGTTTTGTTTATGTTTTTTTTACATATTAAGATTTGTTTTTGTTATTAACATACATATGTGCCATATATTAAAATATGATGAAAAAAAATTAAAACTTATTATCTATAAATTTTTTTTTACGCGATTTCTGGTGCATTTTAAAACATTATTTAGGTTTTATGCAATTTTTTTAATAAATGGAACATATCCATTATTTTGAATATAAATGTATATGCCTTTTTTTGTGCGATTTTTTTATACGCGGATTTTCATAGAACGCATCTACCACATGAAAAAAGAACAAAGTGTATTATAACACAAAGATATGTTATATATTTCTTTTTTTCCTTTCATGGCTTGGTTATACTGAAATATACTCAAAAATTTGTGGTCAATAACTTTAAATAAAAAAATTCAGGCCATATAATTTTTAGTTTGATGGGAGTCTCAGATTTGTAACTGTTCAAAAAATACTATATTATAACGTAAAAATATGTTATATAACATAGGGCGGATTGATGGTCTGGTCTAGTGATTAAGGTCGCCTGATGCTGCTTCGCAGTGCGAGAAGTAACCGGGTTCGATTTGATTGTATGACAGAAGATGCCCGCCTGTTATATGCTTTCTGTGTGATGCGTCATTTAGTATGCATTCATATACGATGTTTGTGCTTGTTGTTCCTCTGAACGTAGGAAGAGTGTAACAGGGTTTTTTAACCATACAATTATGGTACTTCATTTTATATGTTCACAGTTTTTTCTCTGAGTTTCAGCTCATAAAAGTTGTTATAAACATTAAAACAAATTTTATAAAAAAAAAAACGTATCGTTTAAGTGTGAAAAATTAAAAAATTTCAACTAAAGTTGCATACAATGAGACCAACACATCTATTTTATTACCTGCTTTATCCAATGCGGACTTCAAAGCACACGCTCCCAATTTCGTTGCGGTCATAGAAGAAAGTGATCCTTGAAAAGAACCAATAGGGGTTCTGACTGCACTAACGATGAAAACCTCCTTTGAAAAATTATTAGACTTGAATACGTGTGACGTAATTATAAACATGAGATACTTACACGAAGACAGCTCAAACTTCTGTACTGGCCATATGATTCAATCTTTGAAATGTGTATGATATCAATCGATAAAATAAGGAGTGGATTATCATATACATATAATAAACATATCTATCATGAATGTGGTTTTTGATATAATTTAATTTTTACAGTAATCAAATACAGCATACTTGCATGTGGTCAACCTTGATTTTTTAAATGGTTATATAGAAAATAGCGATAGGCATGAGAGAATATTTAAATTTTCAGGGTTAAAAACATATTTGAATAATTTAAATAAGCGCACATTTTAAAACATTCCTATTGCCAATGTTATAGAAGAAAATTATTAAAAACCAACTTTTCCTAGAAATTGCAGCTCATGACAAAATCTACGTAAATGGAAAATGGAACTCATGGCAATTTTGGAATGAATGTTGAAAATTCACAATCTGAAAACTACATTCAATTAAATTAGATATATTTACTAATCATAATCTACAAATGAAAAAGTATGTAAAGAACACAAAATTTGATACATTTCAGAAAAGAAAATTTTTTTAGATAAAAAATTGAAGACAAAATTTAGAAAATATTTGATGAAGTGAAAATAGAACAAAATTTTTATATTGTGTTATATATATTATTTTATCACATTCAGCATGTGCGCTATCTAGACACAAAACTTCTTCATTTTGTATTTGTAACTGTTCTTATTACCTAGGTAATCTTATTTTATGTTATCCAGCCATCTAATTTCTTGGTCCTTTGTATACAATGCTTTATGTCCTGTTAAACTGGGTAAACTGGTCTTTTTAGATTTTTTTACTGCTTTTTCTTTCAAATGAACTTGTTATTGAAAATCACCATTTCTCATTTCTTGAAGAAACCTGACATCCAGGATATGTCTGGAACAGTTCAGTCTGGCAAACCATGTTGTTCTTGTTATTCTTTTCGTTTTTCGGAGCCTTATAATAAATGAAGTTTTATACAATTTCATTTTGGTCCAATGTTTATAATGCATTTCTCTCGCAATGTTTCTATTTTCCCAATTGTAAGCAGCGTTTCTACATTTCTTTTCCATGTCATACCGATGCCTTTTGTCACTTTTGATTTCCCATCAAGTATGGGAAAAGCTTCCAACGTGTTCACAAATGGTTTCATTTAGTTTGACGGCAGTATTTCTACCTGCTTCAACAGTCAACATCATTACCTTTGCTTGCTGTTGATCGCATCAGTTATATTTTGTGAATCATTTGTACTTTCTAAGAGTAGACTATGAAATCATCAACAAATTTCATGACTCTTAAATTATTGATGAAAGTATTTGACCTCCACAACTGAACTACTTGAAGGTTTTGAGCATTCAATGTGGTGGTAGTGCTTAGCTAAAGTTATTTTGTATTTACGCTGATGAACTTTTTGACAGAAGTGTGAACAGAACTCACTATTTTATTTACAATATAACATAATAAAATAATGTAAAATGATAAGCACTGTAAAAACCATTTGGTTATATATGATAAGACAAAAAAAAAACATAAAAGTAATATTTACAGATACCTAAATTTTTATAATTCCTATTTAATTTTAAACTAAATCTAAGAGACTATTTATGTAAATTATATATTGTTTATGAATATTGCAATACATTTCTCAAGAAACTTGGGTTATGCTAAGAATCTGTTCAAGCTAGATCAGAAATACATCAGAAACTTGATAAAATCATTGGGTTAGGGTAAAACTCTATGCTGAGGAGTATTATAAATAACAAAAACAATTTAAATTGCAGTCTACTGCAAAATTTATTTTAGCTGGAAAAAATTTTAGCCTAAAATTTTTATAGAACAGTCTAGTTATTTTTAAACTTAATTTAAAGTTGAAACCTCAAATAGCAGTTAAGTTGCAAAAATTAAATAAATCCAAAATAAAATCACTAAATACCCAAATCAAAACTGGGGCAATAAAAATCAATAAAGTTAGGGAATTTTAAATCTGTTTTTCTAAAGTAACATTCACGAAAATTAGACTTTTTTTGCCTTTTTTTCATATTGGTAGATTTAAAAGCAGGTGGCATTGACATCACAAATGCTACACACAATACATTTTGTTTAGAAAGGGCAAGTAAACATTGATTGCATGTAGATATATAAAGATGCTAATGGTTTCAGGACAATGTCAAGATCTAAAGTTCAACTACTATTCATCTAGAGCCCACAGTTCAATACCATTGCTTATCACAATTAAAAAGCGGTAGTTACCATTGAGTAAATTTCAGCAACTGTCAATCACTAGTAACATGTGCTTTTTAATTCGCATACATATACTATAATAGTAGTATAATGAATTAATTGCAGCCCAGTTGGTCATACTTGCTGATCACACATTAAGTAAGTTTGAAATTTTCCTACATTTTGTAAAATAATCATTGTAATTGATGGATGTATGTTATCATGGGATTGATATTACTATTTGATTCTATAAATGTGTAACATAGTAAAAATGAAATGAAGTCTATCAAATTAATATATAGTATATACATTATTTAAAAAATTTTTCTTTCCATTTATCAATATTATGGATACACATTGTTAATTAATAATATTGTTTAAACTTAAAACCCAGTCTTGCTTCAAATTGAATATTTTTAGTTATTTGTTATTATTATCATATTCAATTATTAAGTATTGGTTGAAATTAGTATTGGAAGCAAGAAACAACTAAACTAGTTTTATATATTATTATATTATATTATTAAATAGATACTATTAAATAATAATTATTTAATATACTAAACTAAAAAACTAAGTAAAAACCCATCTACTACTCTTCTATTCTTTATAATATAATCTCTACCTAGTTAAAAATCATATTATATTGGATGCAGTATGCTCAATTCCGATTATTTGAAAAAATATAATAGATATATTTAATATATTATATTATATAAAAAATTATAAATAAATAAATAACATGTCTGTCAGCTGTCACAAATTAATAATAGAATAGTGCATCCAAAAATTATTTCACACATAAACTAAAACAGCTAATATGCCATGGTCATGCTCCATGAGTCATGACCTCACCTTGAATAAGCTTAGAAATTTTAATTCTCATGCATGCACACAGCAAACAAAAAATGTAACTTTTCTTACAATTAAAACATTAACGCACAAGAGTCCACGTGTGAACGACTGCCACAAGAAACGCGGAAAACGACAATGCAACCATACATGAAAGTAAACAATTGCAACACCGCCCAATCAAGTGTTCTACTGACCTACTCTAGCGCCAGATTACAAAGTAAAAATTAAAAAATCGTATAGATGTTTTGTATCGTGTCAAATGTACGGAAATACATAAAATGAATAAGTCTATCTAGTGATGCTATCTACTGAATTTGCAATAAATAGCTGACTTAGTTAATTGTGACTCTCATGCCCTTGAATCTAAAAGTATTCTTTTGGTATTTTTATTGATCTGTCAAAAGCTTTTGGTTCGTTAGATCTTAAATTTTTTTTACATAAATTATATGCTTATGGTAAAACAGTTATTGCATACAATTGTTAGACCTAAGGGGGCCCAGTCACTCATGGGTTGAAGTAGGGATATGCAAAGAACCTCAATTTTTCAACTTTCAATTATTTTCGGTAATGTCAATTTTATTTTTTTTAATTTATACCAAATAAAATTAATTAATTATCACATTAAATAACAATTTGAAAAAAATTAAAATTTTGTTACAAATTGTAATGCCTAAAAAGTTGTTGTTAATGGTGTTAATTGAAGCTTTTTTACTTTTCGTTAGGAGTTAGTTTTTCTGACTGAATGAATTTTTTCAATCAATGTTTAAATTTTTATATTGTCATTTATCTTTCAGTTTTTGTATCTGTGCTAATTTTCGTGTCAGATACAATAATTTAGTTTTTAAGTAAATTTTCATTTTCGTAGCTATACAAACATGCCTACCTGTTGCATTAAAAATTGCATTAATAGAAATAAGAAAATTTCTGATGCATCTTTTCACAGGTTTATTTCCAAATTTAACTTCACACTAAAATAAATGTAACAACTATCCCTATTCTCCCTGAATAGGACTATTTTGTTTTACAATTATATATATTTTATATAGACTATTATAATTCATTAATAATGCTATCATGAATTACCATTTTATTATTAAAAAGCAATACTTAAGATTTGCACAAGTTTCTGTAACAGTTTGTAAAATTTAATTGTCAGATTTCCTCAAAATGTAGAAATGCGAAACAATTGGATTAAGTGCATCAGACAGGAAATAAATGATTTCAATTGGCTTCCATCAAAAAATGCAAGAATATGCAGTGACCATTTCTGTAATAAAGATTATAAGGGTTATAATGGAGATAGGAAGGTAATGCTGAAGGAAGCATTCCCATGTTTTCAAGTTAGTTATATTTATATGTCATCAGTTACACAAGGAAGCAATTCACATCATCATTGTACATTGCAACATTTTTATCTATACAAAAAATATAAAATGCATTTAACAATACTATCCATGTATTTTATTAAAACTTAGAAAGGGCATAATGACCTTGTGAATAATGAACCTTACTTAAGACTGGAATCATCATCATCATCACGCCAATCACCATTACAAGTAAGAGTGAATTTTACTTAACAAGTTAACTAAATTAGCATAATCAAGTTTCATGATTGAACATACTAATAAATGTTACTATTTTTCATCATAATATATATAATATACATGAATTAGCTACCACAAGTTGCACTACAATTACGAACAATTAACTAAGCTTGGAAATCTTTGAAAAAATCCCCCTTTTCATTTTTACCATTAGATACCAGTAGAAACTTTGAGCACACCATGTAAGCGTAAAATGCCTCATGAACCATCCTTATCAGCCCACAAAAAAAATGTGGTACTGGTAAGTGGAATTTTCTATGTCATTTTTTTTAAATAAAATGATTATCACTGATTATTAAAATAATCATTTATTTTCCAGGATCATAAATATTACACAACACCAACTAAAACAATTAAACAATATAAAAATGTTTGTTCAAGAATGAGCATTTTATACCAAAAATATAGAAATTCGATGAGAAGAGAAAGCCGGTTGATTAATAAATGCAAACATTTGATGGATGAATTGAAAGATTTAAAATTAATAAATGAGGAAATGTCAAATAAATTAGAAGGTTTTGATGGTAAGAAGTTTTTTATATGAAATACACATCAAGTAATTAATGTGACAAATAAATTAACAGAAAAATTTCTGGAAAAGTTTAAAAAAGATAGAACATATGGCTCTGATCAAAAATCATTTGCGTTGACACTGCATTTGTATGGGCCTAAGGCATATGATTATCTTCGGACAAACGGCCTACATCTTCCTCACACTAGAACATTAAGAAAGTAATCTTGTCATACCTGTTCAATAATTTCAATAATCTTGTTTTAAATAACTATTCTCAATGTCATTTTATTAACACTACATTAAAAGGTGGCTACAAAACATTGATGGTACGCCTGAGGTGATTTCTACAAACCTTATTGACTAATGGTGATGGGGATCCTCTGGAACTGAAGGATCATGACATTCAATCTAGTCATAGATTGAGAAATCACTCATTGTCCTTGATATATTTGATAACAAACATTTATTATAATATAAGAATGATGACATTAAATGAAAGAAAAAAAGATGTAGGTTAAAAGGTTAAGGATACTCTCTCTCTTTTGCCCTCGTTTCAGAGGTTTCAACAACAAACACACACAGCGTATATGAATACGCGTGAAAACCACGCATCATACACATTCGAACCCAGTCACTGTATTCGAACCCAGTCACTGAAGCAGCAAGACCAGGCGTATTTAACCATTGAGCCATCACGCCACCGCTGTAGGTTTAAGGCAAAATCTTAATAGAATTATTATTTATGATTTATTTTTTTATTTATGACTTCATCCATTTTCAATGATACAAATATTTTTAATTATTATTTCTTATTTATTGTTTATCCAAATTGTACACATGCCTATATAAACTAATTTGATTGTGACTATTTCTATGCCTAATCATTTTATTTACTTGCCATAGGTATGCGCAGTAGGGTGGAGTGAAATTTTTTTTAATTTTAATATTCCTGTACTGTCAATCAATGACCCATTGTCTAGATGTGTTCCGCAAAATTTTAGCTTTCTAAATCAAAATCTTCAGGTGGCGCATCTGGTTTGAACTTTGAAAAGAAAATCAACCTTTTGATTTATTGACGGAACTTTATTTTACACAATGCTTCTATATATTTTATATTCTGATACTTAAAATTATTAGTACATTTGATAGTTATTATTAAATCAAAATAAAAACAATTGTTCTAATGTCGTAATTCCAAAATCTCCGCACCTTCTTTTTTACCAAAATACTGAAATTTGGTGTTAAAAATTTGTATATCTTGCCTGGCTTTTATTCTGGTTCGAATAAATCCATCTCTAGCTTCTGGTCCACAAACAGATATTGAAGCCTCTGTCACGAGCTTGACGCACCTTTCTACTGCCTGAGTGTGGCAAGGATACTTTTCAATTTCAAGAAGACATTTTGAAGAAATGTCATTCGAAATTTCTATGTCACTATATTTCATTGTCAGTGGAGGTTCTGTTATTTTTTCTACCGCCCAATCTATTAACACATAATAGCTTGATGCATCGATCTTAAGCTCTGGAAGTTTGAATTCACGAACTTTTTTCTCTTTTTTTGCTTTTAAAATTCTCTGAAGAGCCAGTTCTCTTATGTGTTCTGCATCATCTTGTAATATAGCTAGCAATATATATTCTGGATGAACGAAGAAAGCATTTTTTTTGAACGGTTTTAAAGACAATGTTTTTTGGGTCATCACGCAAATACAAACATCTTTTAACCATGTTGAACACACGAATTGGACCATATTTACAACATGATTTTGTCTTCAAACCAGGTTGGTGCGTAAACTTTCATGATGAAATTGGCTAATTCTTTCAAGTTTTCCGTCGGGTTAGCTGTTCCAATATATAACCGAATAATCCTGTTTGCGTAAGTCAGCCATCGAAAATGTGTCAGTTTTCCTGGATCTTTAATAGCTAAGTTTGGTGATACCGTACCAGTAGAACTTGCGGAGCACATCTGATAGATATTTTTGATCGGTGCTTAGCAAATCAGTATTCAGGTCTGGCAATTCTGTTGGGATTGGTTCAAATGCTTCTACTATGAAGTCGAGAGAGTTGTCTAGCCTTTTTCTTGTGCTGCCAAAAAAGCTATTAGGGCCTGTTTTTAGTACCGTCGAGACTGGAGAACAAATGGCGAAACGGTAATTCATTTGCGTGTAACAGGCACACAAACCCTTGCAAAGGTCGTTTCAGGTGTTTTTCTAGTAAAACAATGACTCCATTTTTGTGTCCCGTGTTTACCGCTGTGCCATCGCATCCAATTGCCACCAAGGAAGAACGAAATTCAAATTTCATTTCAAGAAAATCAACAATGCTTTTTTCAATCGTAATTTGCTTTTCCAGAATCAATAGAGAGATGACCGAATCTGGCTCTGACAAGAGAAAAATATGCTCCTCAGTAATAGTTTTCCGATGTGCTGTATTGTTAATAGTAGTCATGACTAAAGTATTGTCTTTACAACCGTCGAAATAAATAGCTGTAATAATTTTATTGCCCTCAGCATACTGCAAATGTTTGCGTACTTTTTTTTCGCTCTCGACGTATTTTGCTTCTGTCTATTACTTTTGATAAATCATCTGTAGTAATAACATTCAAATCAAGCAAGGCAGCGTTAACAATAAATGCAGCAGATCGATCAGAAATTCCAGTTCTATCACATGCGGTAGCTAGATTTTGCAACTGACCTCTCATTTGTTGAGTTTCTTTGCCAGATCGACGTGGCGTTTCTATGATGCGAATCTCATCCTCACCTAATATATCAGTTAAAGAACTACCAGATGTTGAAACTGTCATTTGGGTAGACGAAGTACTTGGACTACAAACGGATTCTTTCGTTTCCTTGCTTCCCTACGTTGGATAGATTGTGTTATCACATTATCCGCATACATTTTGCGATCATTTCGCTGGTCTTTTAAAAACATTTCCTCAGCAGCAGGCATTTCCTCAGTTATGCATTTGATAATTCTCTTGATATACACTTAAATGTTGCCATATCAAACAACTTTCCCAATGAATCTTCGTAGAACACCTGTTTTTTTGAGTTGTCGCGTAATTTTTTTACACTTTTGTACTTATTATAATACAAAGTCAACCTTGCAACGACTTGTTGATGGTCGGAATGGATGATTGTTCAAAATTTGTTCGATGTTAGTAGCAATCATTTCACATAAATTTTTGACTGAAGGATCTTTTCCATTGTTGAGCTCGAGCATATCGTTTCCTATCCACAAGTAGTGTTTGATCACATCGCAATATGTCGGTAACATATTATCACTTAGTTTTGTGAGATCACCAAACACAGGGCACTTCAGATCTTTCCGAGTTTTAGACATTTTTTAAATATCAATTTCAATACTTTGTCCCACAACAAATTTTGTTTACATCACGTGCCTAACAAGCAAACTTTGTAAACAAATAACAGACAAATTAGTTCTTAAGCGCATTGGAAAAATATTTTCTTGTTAGAAGTACAAATATAAATGGCCTTCATGGTACGCCACCTCGAGATAAAGTCGTAGACTTACTTTTTTGTACGAATGATGCTTTTCCATAGGATCATCGATTCACGATACAGGAAATTAAAAAACAAGGAAAAATTTTTTTGCCAAATTCACTCCACCCTAATGTGCAGCATTCAATAAATTAATGATAATAATTAATAACAACATTCTAACCGCATAAGGTATAATAAATTAAAAGTACAATTTCTACAAACCTCATTGGTTATGGTAATGGGGATTCTTTAAAACTGAATGGTCATGTTCTAACAAGTCATGAATTGATGAATCACTGAAATCACACATTATCTTTAATAAATTTAATAACAACATGTACTACAATTTAAGAATGAAGAATATTTGGTAATACATTAAATAAATGAAAAAAAAATTTAGTTTCAAGGCAAAAACCCTAATAGAACGAGCAACTTATAACATATCTTTAACAATTTAGTATTTTTACTTATTTCTTATTTATTCAAATCATACATATGTTGATTATGTATAAGTGTCTTAAAATTACCTTAATTAGCTTTCAGTTATTTCTATGCATATGCATCGATTTATCATTAAAACAATTTTATACCTGTATATCACTTTCTAAAATGACTTTCAAGAACATTTTCCAAGTTATTTGTATATTTATATTATGTGGTGGTCATATTTATAAACAATGCTAAACTTGAAATATTGGATTTTAACACAATTTTTTATTTTTACTGTTATGTTTTCAGTATTATTAGTAATTAGTTTAAATTTATATGTTTTAGTAGTAGTATGAAATGCTGTAGACTGGCAAAAAAACCAATGTGTTGTTAAACGCAGTACGACAGTCGATAAAACTGGAATCACTCATATCATATCATAATTAATAGATTTCAATTAAATTGCAAAGTTAGCTTGAGGAGCTTGAATTGAACAAAATTGTTTATTTTATAAAATTGATTGATAAGTTGTTCAATATATTTATTTAATTTAGTATATTTTTTATTCCCAGGTCTAAGCATTGTAAATACAAATTTTAAAACCAATCAATCAATAGGATTCATAATATATTTTAAGTTGGTTTTATAGGATTTTAGGAACAAGTGCTGTTAGTGTAGTAGTTGTAAGTATGTAGTAGTGTAGTGGTTGGTAGTCTCCTGTTAATGTTTGTTAGTGTTATGCTGTTTTTTATTTTAATTAAAATTAGTAGAGTTTAGTTTTAGCTTAATTATTAGAGTTTAATCAATCAATCTTCGTTTAGCGTCCAGAGATCCAGTTCCCCCGAGGTAAAATGTTGTTTTATTTGCCATCAACTTTTTGCGCCAAATTAGACGATCAGTTGTATCCATTTCATTTAAATTTAGAGCTTTCATGTCTTGCTAGCTTGTTTGCGACCAGGACTTCTTTGGACGGCCTTTGGGACGTGTGCCAGGTACTTCAACATCTGCAAGAGAAGTTATTGCACTGTTTCCACTTTGTTTGACATAACCAAACCACCGCAGACGGTGTTGACGGCTTTCGTCCTTTATATCATCTAAACCAGCACGACACAGGATTTCGGTAGATTTGATGTGGTCCTTCAGACTAATTCGTTGCATCCATCGGAATATTTTCATGTCGGTTCGTTGAAGTTGTTGTTCCAGTTTGGTTGTCATTGGCCATGTTTCTGCACCATATAACAACACCGGACGTATCACAGATTTATAATGTTAAATTTCTTGTTACGTAGATCGCTTAATTAATTGATACAATATTGAAAGACATTAAAAGAAGAGAAATAAACTAAGCAACGTTCTCGACTTGTTTATTATCCACCGGATCAACAGAAAAGGAAAAAATAAAGTTACATACAAAGCAAAGAACATTTGGTCCAAAGAAAAATAAATGTATATTATAAATCATAATGTTTTAATATAAAACATAAAACTTAACACCTTCTCATTTTATTTAAAACATTAGATGACCTTAACCTAAATGTTCTGAAGACCCATTGCACACATCAGATTCTTTAGTCTTGGTCCTACCATTGGTTTTGTCAGGGCATCAGCAACTTGAAGTTCTGTTGCAACTCGTTCAACTGAAACTTCTTCTTCTGCAACTTTTTCTCTGACAAAGAAATGTCTAATGTGGATGTGCTTTGTTCTTCTGTGAAGTTCTGGATTGTGTGCTAAACGAATTGCTGCTTCATTGTCGACAAAAATTTCTGGCTTTTTCTTTAGATCTACAATGTCGTTCAACAATCGTTTGAGCCATATCACTTCACGAGCTGCTTCACTTGCGGCAACGATTTCTGCTTCAGTAGTTGAAATCGCAACTGAGGGTTGACGTTGGCTAAACCAACTGATCACGCTTCCTCCAAACATACAGATTATACCTGATGTCGATCTTCCACTAGATTTATCTCCTCCATGATCTGCATCACTGTAGGCTATAAGTGTATTGTTTTGACCAGACTTGTAAACAATACCGACATCAGCTGTGCCTTGCAAACATCTGAAAATTTGCTTGACTTGTGCTACATTGGACTTGCTGGGTTTCTCCAAACTTCTGGATGCTACTTCAACTGCATATGCAATATCTGGTCTTGTTCCCGTCATCAAGTACATCAATGCACCAACTGCTGATCTGTAAGGAAATTTCACTTCCTCGTGTTCATTTTTGTTTTCATTGAACTCCTCAGATTTTGTAATCGGAGTTGTACAGGGTTTACACTGACTCATCCCAAACTTTTCAAGAATCATTCTTGTATAGGATGACTGACTGACATTAATATTTCTCTTCTCATCTTGATTAATCTCTAATCCAAGGAAATATGTTGCAGGTTTAGATGTTATCTTGAACTCTGACTTTAATTCTTTTTCAAATATTTTTAGTTCTTCTTTATCAATTCCTGCAACTAGTCCATCATCAACATACAGTGCAAGTATGAGTTTTTTTCCTCCATGTATTCTAATGAACAAACAAGTATCTGCATCGCTTTGTTTGAAATGTCTCTTTTTCAAGAATTCAGCAAAGCGTTTGTTCCAACATCTTGGAGCTTGTTTAAGTCCATAGAGACTTCGCTTGAGTTTACAGACTCTTCCTGAATTATCTTTAAAACCTTCAGGCTGCTCCATGTAAATATCTTCATCTAGTTTGCTGTATAGAAATGCTGTTGACACATCAAACTACATGAGTGACATCTTTTCATTTGCAGCAACACTTAATAGTGTTCTTATAGTTGAACTTCTGACCACAGGACTATAGGTTTCTTCATAGTCAATTCCCTTTTTCTGAGAAAAACCTTTTACCACTAGCCTGGCTTTAAAACGTTCAACAGAACCATCTGGATTGTGTTTTACCTTGTAGACCCATTTGAATGGTATTGCCTTATGACCTTTTGGAAGGCTTACCAAATCCCACGTTTGATTTTCCTTTTTTAATGACTGCATTTCACTGTTCATGGCTTTAAACCATTCATCTTTTTCATCACTTTGAATGGCATCTTTGTAGCTCACTGGTTCATGTACTTCACATAATGCAGACATAACGAAAGGATCATAACGAGATGGCTTTTTGATATTATTCCTGTCACGTAAAACCATACCTTTGGTCTTTTGATTACAACAGTCAGATTGATCTTCTTCATCAGATAAAACTGAACTACGGTTGTGAACATCTTCATCTGTTGAAATAATTTCTTTAATCAAGGTTTCTTTATTTTCATCTTTGATCGCTTAATTAATTGATACAATATTGAAAGACATTAAAAGAAGAGAAATAAACTAAGCAACGTTCTCGACTTGTTTATTATCCACCGGATCAACAGAAAAGGAAAAAGTGAAGTTACATACAAAGTAAAGAACATTTGGTCCAAAGAAAAATAAATGTATATTATAAATCATAATGTTTTAATATAAAACATAAAACTTAACATATAAAGTCTTGATCGTAGTGGTAGTGGGATGTCACGCCGCATCAATATAGATGCAAGGAGATGCCATTTATTCCAGGCTGCACGTATGCATGCTCGAACGGCAGTTTCAGCTTCAGCTGTTCCAGTACAATCCAGAACATCCCCTACATATTGAAACGATGTGACTTTCCCTACCTTAATGGCTTCAAAAACAGTGCTATTTCGAATTTGTTGTTGTGGATTGATGCAAGCAGGACAAAAAATTAGACATTTTAGATAAAATACCAATTATTTTTGAACAACGCTTGTGACACCACTTGATTGAATTGTTACCTACACCAGCTTTACAAACTGAAGAGGGCCATCGTCCAGTAGCTGTGGATTGGTTGGGTTCACCCGTGTTCATTGCTTTGGTTTTGCTGATGTTGACTTTGAATCCATGATCGGCGAGTCTGGTGTTCCAATCTTCAAACATCTGTGCTGCATTCTGCTCAGACGTGGCTGTTAAAACGATATCATCAGCATATATTAGATTCCAAATGTCACCAGTGGGTATCGGTTTTTTGATTTCTTCCATCACAGTTATTAATAACAGTGGACTGAGAATCGAGCCTTGGTGAACTCCAACGCCGATGTCAAATGCATCTGTGTTTCCAACCGTTGTGCTGACTAGAGTCTTAGTATTCGTATACATTTCCATCACAAGTCGAACAAGATGTTCTGGAATGAGTTGTCGACGAAGACTCTACCTGATTGCTTCACGGGGACCTCGATCAAATGCTTTTTCAAGGTCTAATTATTAGAGTTTAGTAATTACTAATTAGTCGTCGTTATTGTTGTTACTGTTAAGTGTTAGTGGTTCACAAAAAATTTTTTGTATTTAAAATGCAAAAAGATACTTAACCGTCATACAGCAATATCTACCCTCTTCTCTTCGTTTTTCTTTTTGCTTTCT